AGGGGGAGGGGTAACATAGAGGTGGAGGATTAAGAAGTACAAACTACCGGGTGTAAAATAAGATACAAGGATGTATTGTACAACATAGGGAATACAGAACCAATATTTTATAATAACTGTAAATGGAGTATAACCTTTAAAAATTGTGAATTTCTATACTGTATACCTGTAACATATAATATTGTACTTCAACTATACTTCACCTTAAAAAATATGACATTATAAAATAAATACATAAATAAAGTTTTAAAACATAAAAAAAAATTACTTCACCTTTCCTTTAGCTGGCATCATATAGTTCTTGAGTCGGAGTCTAAGGTCGTGTGCTACTTCCATGAGATACTGTGAGGAACGGATCAAGCTTTCATCCACAGGACCTGCCAGAGGCCATGAAGCATTCATAATTGAATCGGGCTTTAAAAAAAAAAAAAAGATTCAGTGAGATTAGAAAACACAACTATTTTATGATTCTTGGTTACAGTTTCATACCAAAGCTACCATCTGTAATTGTGTGCTCAAAGTTCAAACCTGACTACACATAACACACTTACACAGCCCCTGATCTAATGTTCCCTAGAATTCAAGCTGTGAAGTCTGACTCTACATTCTTAATTAGCATCCATTTGTACAAGTGTATTAATACCCACACACATATGCTCACTTTCAAAGAAAATTATGTAATGCTAATTTGCCTAAATTTAATCATTATTAGATAAATTATGCACACTCTCAGTTTTATCCTATTAACATGAGTACTGAAAGTATGGCTATTCACTATATATATCATGAGCACATTTTTGCATTGTTCATGCACTGAAAAATACAAAAGAGTTTGGCTAATAAGCCTAGAAAGGAGTTATTAAACCAGCCAATCTGTTTATCTGCAAGCCTGGAAGAAATAATTGAGTTTATCTTCACAGCAAGAATGCTAATATAATAGCCTTGAATATGCAGCCCTATATATGCCACAAATTTTATATAAAACAAGAATATTTATGCAAATAGACACTTTCTTTGTTTATAAGCAGCTCATAACAGTTATTTATCCTTCTCAATATTCTCACCTTTTTAACAAACAGTTGGGAAAACAGTATTAGTTATACACGTATTCAAATGTATACGCGAATGTATTCAAAAGTATTATAATATTTCCTAACAGGAACAAGATGGTAACATACACAAAGTCACATGTTTTTAAAATACATATACTGTGTATACATAAATAAAGGCATGCCAATATATGATATACCTGTCTAAACAGGAGATAGCTTCAGTCTAAGTTGCTGTAGTAATTATGAGATGAGGAATCCAATATTATTTTTGAAATACTCATTTTCAGTCTTTTTCTTTTCAGTAACATTATTACCATAATACTTACTTAGTGAGGACAAAATCAAAACTACCCAGAACACCTTAAATGCATAAAGCTACCTTTCCCAGGAGTGTCCAGATGTGCTCACACAAATGTGGACAGAACGGAGCCAAGAGAAGCGTCTGAACTTCAATAAACCGGAACACGAGGTCTCGGTGCATCCCTTCTATGGCCAATTCACGGTACTTATCTTTTGCAGCCTATAAAATTTGAAAGTATTTACCATTTCTCTCCCGTTATGCTTCTTTAAAATAAAATTAAAGGAAAAAAATTCAGTATCTATTTTAATGCATTTTTAAGTGTTCAGTCCTCTAAAATTCCATAATAAATTTTTTTCTTTAACCTGAAAATACAAGAATACCAATTCTAACAAAAGGATATTGCAGTTTTATACTGATACTTCAGAAAAAATATCTGAAATAAGACATTTTGCACTAGACATAAAAGTTGAATGATTTAAACTGTGTACTAAGGGTGAATGCTCTGAGTAGTATATATTAAGTATCAAAAAGGCTATAAATATGACACTGTTATGCTCAGCACTTATCCTTATTTAACCACATCTCTGAAAACCAAGTTACATAAATCTCAATGTGATATTGCACAAAACTGAAGAAAGCTACATTTTCACTTGAACTGTCAAACTTGTGGAAACACTGACACCTTGTGGAGAACAAGAGAGAAAAGGTTTGCTTTCAAACTAATGGCAATTAGTTACAATCATGCCTTTGTTTATCAATTTAAAAATGTTTTCCTGGAAAATGTGACTAATTTTTCAATTTGACCGCTTTATTAACTCACAGCTCAATTAGGAACAGAATTACTTACATTAAAGAGACACAACAGAAAAAGTACCAAAGAAAACTATTTAAAATTTACAATTTATTGAAGAATTTACAAATTGTCAGTCTCCACTTAGGATGAATTATTATGTTATAGCAGGAGAGAAAAAAAGATGAAATATATCATATTCACACTGACATATTTTATAGATACAAAAAGATAGCCTACCTGAAATTCAAAAAACCCTGTTTTCAAAGCTTCTTTAAACATCATCTTTTCATAGTTTTGATCTGTTTTTATAATTCCTGCATTCATTTCACTATTGAATAGGGAAAAAAAGGTAACTGAGTTTAAAGGCAAGTATATATAGGTATACAAAACCTCTGCATACACTAATAAACAGTAAAATGAGAATATGCCTGAATCATTTAAGACTGCTCAACCACAAAACCATCCTTGTATTCCTTAAAACTGACTATTGCAGCCACCCACTGTCTATCCACTTTTGAGAATTATCATCTGATACTGCTTAGGACCTGTTTCAACACAGTTAATGAACTGCTTATTTAAAAATTCCTTCACGGAAAGCCCAAAATGCAATATGAAAATAGCTTTACTAAGGCTGTAAACAGGTTTAATTGTTGCATTTTAAACAATGGACATTGGCTTAAAAAAGGATTCCTCATGCTACCTCAGGCCCTTCATAATTTGGCCTACTACAGCCCCAACTTGTTGGGTCTCCTACTTCTGCCCTCCACGTACCGTACTTCACATAAATACCATACTCCCTCCATGGCTTTCTCTTCTCCCTCAAAAACTGTTTTCTTTTTCAAGAAACTCAGAATTCACATGCCACCTCCTCTGACTTCCCTCTGCCCCTATTATTACACTCATAATTAGCTGGATAAGTGTTTTTCTCTCCTGCTAGACTACAACGAAGGATCAAATCTTATTCGTCTTTGTAATACCAGTGCTTAGGATGGTTCCTGATACAAAGAGACTAAGAATTGTCTTTTTAAGGAAAAAAGAAAAAAAGACAATTCTTTTCTTCTAATCTACTTTTCCTTTAACCATTCCGCCCTCCTCTAATGCAAGACAGCATGGTAAAAATGATTGAGAATGGGCTTTAGAGACAGAAACAAATTCCTATCCCAAGTTTGAAATTATTAGCTTTGAAGTATTTAATGAAATACTTAATTTTTCTAAGCTTCAATGTCTTAACTATAAAATAATCTTTATCATATAAAATTGCTATGAGTCTAAAATCAGACAAAGGATGCAAAGTACTTAGAATAGTACCTAGCAAATGTAAGCTTTCAATCAACAGTAGCTATTATTAACATCTAATTTACTTTAAAAGAAGGAAAAAAACTTAAAAATACACCACGACTAAGCAACCCTAAAGTACAAAGTGGCTGGGGTCCACAGATTACCTGGCAAAAACTCGATCATTGAAGGTGTTGGCAGGACCACTTCTCAGGCTGTCCCAGTTGGCAACCATTTCTTTCACCCATTCCACCCAGGTGTACAGACGGAGAATACCTGCATCTGCCATGGTTTCCACAAAGTTAGCATCTTCAACAGTGTCACCAGCATCAGCCAGGGCCAAGCGCATTCCTGGAAGAATTTTAAAATGTGGTTACTGAATATCACCTATGTGTGCAGTTGGGTAACCTGCCTATCCGTAAACTAAGAAATAACAAGCGCTTTAAAGGACTGCATGGATCAACAGCAAAAATAAAGATCACCAGAAGTGTGATCCAAAACAACACTGTTAAAATATCTGAATTTTCTGCATTGATTTTCATACAATTAATATCAATATGTGTTTCTCCTCAGGCATGCTGAGTTAATGAGAAGAAGCGATCTTTAGTGAGGCAGAGGAAAAATGATCAACTGGGGAAAGATACCCCATCAACACCTCAGTCTCATTTAGAAGTAGCAAAGTTATTATATTTTAATGCATAAGAACACACGTTGGTGCCTTATGTGTACAAATTATATATTTTCTTGGTCCTTAAAGTAGATTGTTTTAAGTTTTCTACTAACAAAATATAACTTTTCAACCAAAATCTTCCATTCTAAAATACTGAGAAAACCATTGATAAGGGTCTAATTAAATAAATTATAGGACATTCTTTCAATGAAAGGCTACACTGCTGCAAAAAAGAGTGAGGAATCTCTTATGTATCAGTATGAAGTGATCTGAGATATGAACTGTTAAGTGAAAAAAGCAAAGTTCCTAACAGTATGTACAGTATTCCACCATCTGTGCCTTAAAGGAGATGAGAATCTATAACATCGAGTTCTATATGCATTATCTTTTACAATATACAAGAAGCTGAATACATTTTTTTTACTTTTTATTTTGAAATAATTTGACCTGACTTCCCTAATGTTAACAACCACAGTTCAAAACCAGGAAGTTAACATCAGTATGATACTATTAACAAAACTACAGACCTTATTCAAATTTCACCAGTTTTTCCTGTAACACCCTTTTCCTGTTCTAGGATCCAATCCAGAAACTCATCTTGCGTTTAGTTGTTCTGTCTACTTGGGCTCTTCAAATCTGTGACAGTCTCAGTCTGGCTTTGTCTTCCATGACCTCGACACTTTTGATGAGTAGTAGTCAGTTGTTTAATAGAATTTCTCCCAGTGTGGGTATGTCTGATGCTTTCTCATGACTAGACTGAGGTTACGCACCTTCAGCAAGAGTATTACAAAAGTGATGCTGTGTGTCTTCTCAGTGCATCCTTATCAGGGAGGTCTGTGATACTGATAGGACTTATTACTGCTATTGCAAACTGTCCTCACTTAGGCAGGCAGCGTCTGCCAGGGATCTCCACTGAAAAGTTACTGTTTTTGCTTTGTGATTATAAAGTTATCTTGGGAGAGATAATAGGAGTATATGCAAACATTCTATTTTTTCCTGAATTCTTCACCCATTCATGGATTTTGCCTGTGACAAATATTACTGTATTTGCCTAATGGTGATTTTATATTTCACTCAATCCTTGTACTTTTATTAACTGGAATTCTTCTGAAAGGAAGAGCTGTCCCTACTCCCCCACTTACTTATTTACTCAATTATTAATACTTATCAGTTTGGATTCATAAATATTTATTCATTGGGTTATAATCCAATACTATCCTTATTTACTTTGTTTCTTCTTTTGGGGTTTCTAAATGAGTTTATTTTGTTCATCCTACTTTAGTTTTATTACTGCACACTGAGTATGTTCATGTGGCAAATGATTTTCTTTTTAACTCAATTACTTTGTTTCCTAAATTGTCCTAGCTGGGGCAACTGGGAACTCCTTCAAGTTGGTTCCTGTGCCCTTTCAAGCTGTCCCCATCCTTTTTTAAACATTTCCTTATTTTCTGGCACCATAATGTGTTCCATGCTCATCTTGTATTTTCTCTACTCCAGCCCTCAAATCAATCATTTCTCCTAGGAACCCTTGTTCCTTTTATTAGAAAATGGTATTTAGAAACCAAGATCTGAATGCCAGCTGTTTCACTGTTACTAGTATTTACACTTCTCATAGTCTCTCTTAGCAGGCAAAGCTAGAATAAAAGCATGTATACTAACTTACACATAAATTTACGTTTTTTTCTATCTGTCTGTATATAAAATAGAAACCATGAGTTCATACTGATATTGCCAATTTTGATCCAATACCATAGGGTTCATTCTAGCATTTCCTCTTGATTTATTTATAGCTTCTGACAGCGAGCTCTCATCTACAATATATTTATTTGTTCAATCCTAGTAAACACACAGAATAGTCTCAGAATTGCTAATCTACACCTCTTGTCAAAAACACTTACTAACTACAATATTTGTGTAGAGTTCGTTTTGCCCTACAGCGTCCAGTCAAAATACTGTTTTTTAAAGTAACTTAGGTTAGCTGGTCCCCAATCTCCTTCAGTACAGTCTCAGACTACAGTAGCCATGTGAGTAAAGCAGAGCCATGATGACCAGTCTAGGCTACATATGAAATAACCGGCTCCTCCAGATAAGACAGTATATTTCTTCTCTTGACAAAGTAATCATCAAATGGAACAGGAATGAGGACAGGGAAAATGTATTTTTCTAAAAAATGAGTGCTCCCAGTTGCAAGTCACCTATATGTATATCAAATATGAAGGAAACACTTTGAAAAAGCTTCCTACATACTCAACATCACTACAAACTTAACTCTGACTTCTTAGAAGCAGCATGAAATTAGGAAAAAGCCAGGTTGCAATTATAGTGAGTATTCCTTGAAAGAAGACTCTAATAATCTTAGCTTAAATTTGTTCCTAAATAGGTAAGATTAGCAATTCTTATGTTTTAAAAATTACATTGCTTGTACACAGAGAAAATATGAATATTTTGAAGTACTGGTAAAAGCAAAAGACAAAAGCAGTAAAACCACAACGACAATTTTAACCTGCCTGCTGTAATCTGAGGAGAATTGGACCCCACACAACAGCAATAACAAAACAGTATACTCACCATCGGCTGAATATTTGTCAAGAGCTTGGCTCAAAGTGAGGAAGTTGCCTGTGGATTTTGACATCTGAAATAGAAAGTCAATGATCAGGCATTAGTAAAAATATATATAAATAAAATAAGCCAAATCAGTCATATCAAATTAAATGTGTTGGCCACCATCAGAAAAAGACAAAAAGGATTAGAAACATGGAAAGGAAAAGATACCTTACACTAACTTTACAGAGGAGAAAACTGAAGTCCAGCCAGTACAGTGACTCACCCAAGTCACTAAAGCTAGGACAGGATCTCCAGTCTGCTTACTCAGTCCACTGCTCTTTCCATTAACTGATAATGTCCCTTAGGAATTGATTTGACTTGTGGGATAATTCCACTACAACTCTGGAACACTTTAGCTGGTTATAAGAAGAGCTTTATAGCAATTAGAGTCATTCAGAAATAAATGGACTAGCTCAGGAGGTCAGAATTAGGGCTTTAAGGAACTTCCTGTCATTAGGGTCACAACAGTTGGTTAGTCAAGTTGTGCTGTGTCTGACGGCAACACAACTAAAGAGGCAATGTGTACAGCCTAGCAATCTTCATAATTCAAAAAATTTTCACGCCTTTGTAACTTTGCTGATACCAGAGAGGTGATTATTCTATCAATTTTCCACTACACAGCAATAAAGTACCTTGTTCTAATAAAATGAGTATAGTGTATGTATAGGACAACAATGCTGAAACCAAAGAAAATGTCATAACAGGATTTATATTTTTATACATATATAAAAATACACACACATACATATATACAAATATATAGTTACACTTTGACTTTCAAAGAAAAAAATTAGATAGTCAAAAGTCCTTGTTGATTTAACAAAATCTATAAACTAGCTGTTTTTCAGCTTAATGTACAGATTATCTTGAATAAATTTTTTTAATCCCCTTTCAATATTAGGGCACTGTAAAAAATGTTTCATTTTGCAATTCATATCATATGCTATTTGTTTAAATCTATAACTATTTTCATTATGACATACTTACAGCAATGAATGTTCTTTTACCATTCTTTTACCGTTAGTCCATCAGTTGTAGCAAGCTGCACTGGCTGGAATAAATCCACCTTGTTGCAATTGTTATTAATGAAAAACAGATAATACTGCAACTTAATTTTTAATTTGTTTGTTTAGTTCAGGGAGGGTGCCCCTTTCTAATGTGCACAAAGGCATCATAGGGGCAAGCAGGGCCTTGTTAAGAGGTTTGCATAATCTCCTGTTGATCAACTAAAGTCTTGTGTAGCCTATAAAAAACCACGTCTATTATTAGTAGTAACAATAGGGGAAGTTACAGCAGTATAGTGAGAGATATACTGTCTGGGAAGAAGCCTTAAATGACACCTGAATACTACAAACTCCAAAATTCTACTATTTTCATTTAGTGTTTGGTCACAGTATAAAGCAAAAGCCACCAAGTTATTTTCTCAACTTAATAAGAAAGATATTATAGGGCCACAAAGATAGGGTCTTTATGTTTCCTGTCCCTTTCCCTGTCTCTCTCTCCTCCTGTTACAATTTGTGTCACCCTAAAAACAAATGTTACAATAGGTAAATAAGCTTTCTCCATCCCTCCCCTCAACTAATACTATTTCATTCACCTAATTTTAAAGGTAAACCTTTAATTTATGCTGTTAGTCCTAAACATTTTAAATGGAAGATTTTTAACTCTTTGATTTTCATATTCTTTATTTCTTTAAAAAGTACAACATCCTAAATCTGGAAAGTTTTCAGCAGAATTTTAACCTTTCAAGAGGCAATGAGCCTTACCTTCTCAGAGTTGAGGAGGAGATGTCCATTTGCCCTCACAGATATAGGCCATTTGTCACTTGACAGGTAAATGTTTACATACAGAAAATGAAACAAAGATTATGGTTTAGCCTTAAAATTTTAAGGTAAATGCTAAAAGATTCATAAAAGTTTGCTAAGGCAAAAGTACAGAGATATTTATTGAGTCCTTTTCATAACAGGAAATGAAGACAAGGGAAGTCCATTAGTAAAGGAATGGTTGTATAAACTATGGTACAGGCTTAAAATGAAATACTATGTAAATATTTTAAAATACAGGCAGGACTATATATATTGATATAAAAAGATCTTAGAAATATACTATTACAAGGAAAAACAAAGAGACAAAATAGTGTCTATAATGTGGCATCTTTGTATAGATTAAAAAATACATAAGAATAGATAACTAATGCCAGTATAGGAATACATACATTTTCCAGAAGGAATCTGGAAAGTAGTAGCAGTGATGAGCTTTGGAAAACAGAGTGATACAGGGGAAAGGCTGAAAGTTCACTTTTAACTTTTTGCCTTTATGAACCATTTGAATTTTCAAGCTATGTACATATCATTCATTCATTCATGAGATCAGGTAGGAGGCAGTGTTAAGAGCAAGAGTTCTAGAGTCAGACTGCTGGGGTCTGCATGCTGGTTCTGCCACTGCTGGGTAATTCTGGGTGAGTTATTTGAGCCTTCTATGCCTCATGTAAAACGAGGATATTATAGACCCTCCTCCAAAGGCCGTAGTGAAAATAAGACGAGTTACTAAAAGTGATTAGAACAGTGCCTGACATAAGCCTTGATGCTATTACTTATCTGTAATTTTTAAAATCCTAATACATGTCAAAAACTTGATGCAAGGGGATAAATATTCAACTAAACTACTAACAAGTAATTCTGAGATACCCAATTTCTCCAAAAACACATTTTGAACAACAGAGAAAAATAATTAGATGGTAAGAACCACATCAGGTTTATTTTATTTCTCTTCTTCAAAACCTCCCTTTTATTCTTGAGAAAGAAAATTCAATCTCATTCTAAATATAAGAAGGAAATCACATGAGATTACTTTGGTCTTACAAAATAAAATTTGAACAGTGGGAGGGGTTTGTTTCTTTAGCTACTTTAGTGACAGGAGGAAAAGGCACAGAGACATATTTGGGTCAAGAGGGAAGATGACAGAAGGATTACTCTTGAGCACAGGGTATTAAAAATGCATCTTCGACCCAGATTCTAGTCAGAACATCATCATCAACTAATGCTGGAACCTTGGGGCTCTCAGCTCAAAAGTGATGTTTCCTTCCAGTTCTAACGTCCCACGCTGTGTCTTAAATCACCTTTACTCCTGCATCTGACAGGTCAGATGAGTCACATAACAGAGCAAGTGAATTACTGATGCCCCTGAAATATGATGTGCTTTGGTGGCCAAAGGTAGGTACGAGGACCTCTGGATATAACTGATAAACGAGGTGTGCTTCCTGCTTTAGTATATTTAATATAAGTAAAAAAAAAAAAACGTAACTGGCAAATCTAACCATACCCTCCACAGTAATTTCTATATATTTGAGCCCTTGTCAATAATCAATACATTTAGTCCACATCTTTTTTAGGACTCACCTTTCTTCTGGCCACATAGCCACATGATTATAAAGGAAATATGAAAGATGATTTGGAATAAGATCCTTGCCAGAGACTCGAAGATCCACAGGATACCAGAATTCAAATTCCTGCCTCAGCTGATCTAGCTTTTCCTTTGGGATCTGAGTCTTAGGAAATGGAGCCTCCGTGAAGAAAACATAGTCCCAAACTTCCCTGGTCATCTGCTGAGGACTATTAAAAATAAAAGAAACAAACAACAACAATTACATATATATGTACAACCTCTTTGAAAGAATCAGGATTCTAATCCAACCTTGACGTAGAAATCACTTTCTTAATGCAGTTACATTAACAAATGAGGACGGGAGACTCCCCTAAGAATGAAGAACGGGTAACAGAGGAGGGGCTATTTATTACTTTTTCTCAGTTCAACATCAAAAAGCAAAAACATCACAACAAAATTCCACTAAATGAGTTCTTCTAAAAACTAATTATTAGAATTTCCAATAGGTAAATCAAAAGCTAACAAATTACACTTCTTTTCCTTATCCATTTACCAACCTGATGCCCAGCGGAGACTCTGCCTGTCCACGCAAGTTACCTCCCTGCAACAGGTGTGCAACTGTGTAAAATGCCATGTAAATAGTGGAATCGGAGAGCGATTCAATCAGCCACTGCTCATCCCATGGTAGACGAGTACCTGCAAGATAAAAAGAAGGAAACTAATGCTTGAGGAACCCACGAGACACTTAATCTATAGAATTCACGTTTTCAAGAGCGGGTCAATAGTACTGACAAAGCTACCTTAAATTTACTTAATTAATACAAATAAGCTGGTAAGTAAAAGACAGAATGGGCACTCTCTGTCTCGGCCTTTCTCTTGCCTCCTGAGATGGCCTGCGTGGTCTATGGAGTACACATCTCTGCTTTTACTCAAAAAACAGACAAAAAAGGCTGAGGCACTAGAAACTTTCTATTAAGAAGCTGCACCATAAAAGCTATGTAGGTTAGAGACTTCTACCACCAGGTGGATGTCAGAAGACCATGTCCTAGTTTCCCTCACCCTCTAACCCCGAACTTCTAATTCAGAAAAACACTGGAAGAGAAGAAAAACAAAGTTAAAGTGTTACTTTGCTACGTAACCGGCAAAGTCATTCAAACAGAAAAACGTGGAAGTTTGCTTACCTAAACCGTAAGTTCTGGAGCAAGCATGCTCTTGCAGCCAATCTAAGGTAGCTTCAAAATTCCTCCTGGTCTCCTCACAGAACCTGGGAAGAGTAGAAGATAAAGTATCTCTCTTCACCTTTATTGTCTTCCCTGTTTCTCATCTCCTTGCCCATCTACCATCACTTTCTCCCAGCTTACGTTTCCAGGTTCTTCAAGCACTGGGATGTCTGTTTTTTCCAGTTCTCTTCTCCATAATCCAAGTACCTGGGAGTGGATGAAATGATTTAAAAAAATAAAAGTCAAATAGATAAGCAAAGTGACAGAAGGAAATTCCTTCTTACTATAAGAGAGACTAACCACTGGTCACACAGGGCCACGACGCACTCATCTGAAGACCTGGATATAACTTGTTTCTCTGGTTCCATATAAATATATGCATCTCCCTAAATGAAAGTAAATAAAATTATATCAGCTATTATGTCAAGGCAATCTCTGTTCCTCAAAGATAAGAATAACTTTTAAAAAAATGCTCTACCACAAATAACCAAAACCTCACATTTTCATTATGTCTTCCCTCTTCCCAAGGTAGAAGGTAACTGCCCTTCTTTCTGTATAACACTTGCTGCTGAAAAGGCATGCATCTTTATCAAATGGATCACCTTCCCTAGGTACAGATTATGCCTCTTCAGAGTGAAAGATGTTTAACAGTTTCTAATGCTATGCTCTGAAGGTTAGGCTGCCTAATTAGCCTTTTATTCCTGTTATAATATATTAAAAAATAAATATATAAATAGGAAATCAGATCCATGGAATCACTGCCATTAAAAAAAAAAGATGCACAAGAATTAAACATGGAAAATACTATTACTGAAGACTTCCATTTAACGATAGTAAATTAAAACAGATATGTAACTCTGCTCCCTCTCAAAATTCTAACAAAATGACAACGAGGCTTTTTTTTCCCCAATGATATGAACCTATAAAGACAACAGAATGGGAGAAGAAATAATATTAACCAAATGTTGGGAACTAAAAAGTAGGAAGACAGATAACTATTAGCAAATCAAAGAAAGCTAGCTGAATCCTAAGCCCACAGAAGAGAAGGCTGAAAAGCAATCTAGTTTGCATTACAGAACTTCCAAAAAACTCAGGACTTGTAATACAAGACAGTTCTGGAAGAGAAGGCAACACAAGGCTGGAAAGACAAGGACTAATCAAAGTCTTTTAACGAAGTTTGAACTCCAGATACCCTGATCCCACACTATGCAGACAAGCAAGTGCCCCTCCCTATGCCAGCAGAGCAATGAAGGTTTATTCCCTGGACAGGACAGAAAAGAGCCCCTCAACCAGAGGACAAGTTTAGGTTATGGGTATCACAGTGAAAAAGGGGGGACTGAGTGAAAGTGAGCACACTGGGTGTTGGTACCCACCCTAGCAATCTTCTCCCATTCAGCTCCCAGAATGCTCAGTTAGCATAGACCCTTTATGTCAGAAACTGAATAATCTTCTGAGGGGAGTCTAACAAACCAAGAATCCCTAATTAACATCAAGGCTAATATCAGGGCTTCCCCAAGGCCCAAATGGACCTTCTGGATCTCCTCCAGTGAAGCCCCACCCATATCCAAAAAGGTTCCCATCACCTTTTCGTACCCACTCTTAAATATCAACAGTCGTCCTCAAATTAATGAAAGATTAAAATTTCATATACATGAAATGAGAATGGCATCCTATAAAAAAGGATCAGATAAGAAGAATAAGCTCTTAAATTGGCTCTGAGTTGGATAAGAGGTATACAGGAATTCATTATACTTCTCTACTTTTTTATAAATTTGAAATTTTCCACAAAAAATTGAGGGACTTCCTCAGAAAGAAGAGCAAAAGGACTTTCAGAGGCTAAGAGATTCAATATCTGAATGGTAAGAATTCAGTCAGCAAAAATAAAGAACAGGAAGGGACAAAATTGTCAAACAAAAAGTCAAGAAATTTTCCCAAAATTGAAGAACATAAGTTTCCAGATTGAAGGAGCCCACTATGCACCCAGAAGAATGAATGAAAACTGACCTACACCAAGGTAAATCATCATGCAATTTCAAAATACTGGGACAAAAGAGAAGACTTTATAAGCTTCAGGCTGGGTGGGGAGGGGGTGCAGTGTAGCCACAGGTCAGTTATAAAAGATTCATTATTACCAGAATGGTTTTGGACTTCTCAACAGCATCACTGAACCAGTACACTATGGGCAATGGCCTTTAAAATTTTAAGGAAAAATTCTTTCCTAAGCCAGAATTCTAAACCTAGACATTCAAGTATGAGAACAGAATGAAGATATTTCAGACATGGAAGGTCACAAAACTTTACCTTCCAGGTACCCTTTTCCAGGAAAACTACCAGACGCAGAGCTTCACCAAAATAAAAAAGTAAATAAGAAGTCATGGGATCCCAGAAACAGGAGATCCAACTCCACAGAAGTAAAGGGAATCCTAAGTAAGACAGGAGGAACATCCCAGATACTTGTGCACATCTGCAGGAAGTACCAGTCTGGATGAGTAACACAGGCCAGGAGGCTCTGGGAGAACTTTCTCTAAGATGTAACCGATGGCATACTGATGTGTCTGAAGGTCCTGATAGGAGAACTTAACAGCTGAGACAGTTTGGGGATGAAGTACCAAAAATTATATTTAAAAGTAAGAAAAGTCGGGGGGAAAGACAATTATTAACTCCACGGAAAATCAAAAGCTGGGGAAGAGAAGTTCTCATGGTACACTGCCCTATGGAAGAGCCACGACTCAAAAACGTACACACTGAGTATTGCTCTAACGTAAGTTATAATACACCTCGACTAGGAAGATGGGGGTTGGAGAAGCACACATAAATGTGAGGTTAGACAGGAAGACACAAGTTGGGAAGAGTTAAATCTTGATCTTCCATAGTTGGAAGTCAATGGCTGATGCCTAAAAATGAAAACTTAAAAATTACACTACAAGCATTTAGATGAGAGATCTATAAGAGAGGTGGAGGCCGATACTAAATAAAATAACTGAAACAGCTGAAAGTAAGCCTGTCCAAGGAAGAGAAACTTAAGAGAATGTTGAAGGAGGGAGAAGAAATTACTTTTTAAAATTTGAATAAGCTATTGTCTCTCTGTATTATGGATATACATAACTGTCAAAAATAAAAATTCAACTTTAAAAGTAGTTAAGTAACTCAACAGAAAAAAGTTACAACAAAAATGAAAAGGGAAAAAAGGATGACAGTAAAAAGCCCTACAGAAAGAGAACTGTAACCACCAGTACCTCACCGCCAGGAAGCACCATTAAAGTTCTCTGTATGCGATTTGGAATACTACCTCTTCATCAGCATTACAGGTGGGATGTCAAGTTAAATAAACTGCTAAACAGGTCTCCTGTTTTATATATAAATAAAATTATATCTCTAATATAGCTCCAGGTTCTACTACAGAACTCACTACTAATTATCACTGGGAAGTCTATTAACTAAAAGCTTTTCTCCAAAAACAGCCTTCAGAGGACAGCCCATGACATACAGCGTCAATCATCTTGTTCTTAATAGTCTTCTTTACATCTTGGACCTTCTGTCCTTTAAATCCATCCACCAACATTACCTAAAAGGAGAAGTTGAGAAAAAACACATATGAAACAATTAAAATTTGCTTTGGGTTCCACCACCAAAACTCTCCCTAACTAAATTTACTACCCGTCACAACCAAGATACTTTTACTGTGAAATTTATCACATTTATAAACCATAAGCCTTAATTTTGGCACAGCTTGGACAACAAATATTTATAACACTTGTTTTCCTTTTAGTGTAACTAGAATAGCTATTATGAACATAGTTAGAAAGGAACGCTCACTTCCTTCCCACTTCTCAGGTTTCCATGTGGAGAGAATTCCTCTCCCCTAACTCATGTCATTCCTGAAGGCTCTGGGAGAAAGAACTAAGCATATCCAGCTCAGCCCCACCTCGGCTTCTCTTTCCAACTCCATCTGTTGCCAGCAAACATTCTCCTTTGCCTGGCCATGTGACAAGCTTGGCTCTTAGAGGAAAGCCTACTGTTTTTTAACTCTGACTTTTTGGCAGTGGGGAGATTTAATTCCAGGGCAAAGTATTAGCTTGCCCACTGCTGTCACAGAGCTAGCCACAATCCCTTTCCAGCTGATATTCTGACCTCTATCTATCTGACTCCTGTGACTCTCAAATAGCTTCTATCTTAAGTGTTCTTTTTTGACCTTCCAGTCCTCTAACAAATCAAAATACTTCATTATCTATGTAATTCATCATTATGAAATTTTACTTATTGATCATTGTGGCACAGGGATTAACAGTACAAATCTTAGAGCCAAGTTGCCTAGTTTGAGTCCCAGTTCTGCCTCTGGCTGGCTACCTGGCTGATCCTGGGTAAATTACTTAATCTCTTAGTGCCTCAATTTCCCCATCTGTAAAATGAGAATAACAGTGTCTACTTCACAGGTTATTTTCAGAAGTAAGTAAATATGTAAATGCTATGTAAGTGTTGGCTTTTATTGTCATCTAAAACATGGAAGTCACTTTAAAAAAAGGCATGTAAGACTTTTAAGGCAATTCTTAGCCTTAAAAATCTTCATTTCAACCTCAAGTCACGAGCAACTGGGCTTTTTACTTTCTCTAGGCTCATCTTCTTTCCATGGAAATGTAAAGCTACATTAACATTTGCACAATTAAGGAGGAAAAAAGGTCCAGAACTGACTTATTGTGCTAACATGGCATGCAGTAGGCATTAACAAGTAAATTAATGAAGCAAATGAAAGTGCTTATTTAAAATGTGAACTCCTCAATTAAAAGAGCAAAAAGGGACCACATATTGTCCATGCAATAAACTGTTGGAGTTTACTGTATGATAATATGAACTAATTTTAAATATTTTCTCAAGAAGTTCATTTCTTAGAGATTAGAGGGCACAAAAATGGAATTTCCACAAATGCTATTAGACAAAAATAGATTTTAAAAAAATTTGGAAATAGAAGAATACAATCTTATATTAATCCCTCTCAAATCAGGATATAGCTGAAACTATATTGAATTTTTTGATATTCTTTTCAAAGTCACTAAGATGAAAATCACAGAGCACAGGGTAAATCAAATAAAAACAATAAAAAAGTACCACTTACACCATCATAAAACCCTCTTAGATATAATTTCTCCTTTGCTTCTGCAAGTTTTTCTCGGTCATTCTGGCTCTGAACTTTCAACTCGTCACAGATGGTTACAGCAGAAAGTGTTCCAAAACCTGGGATTTCAATGACTGGCACCTGCAAAGAACCACAATGTCAGGATCTCATACTGAATGAACACAACGACAGCCCGATGGGCACAGTCCTTTTGCCTTACTGTCCAAAGAAATCATTTCAGATTTTATACATCACTATGGCAGTGCCACACATTAGGTAATCACAGAGGGGCTAACATCCAGATGTGAATCTGTCTTTCTACTCTCCACCCAAATGCTCTGCACGAACCCCCACACTGTCCCTCTCTCACTACACACACACCTTCCCCAGCTCTCATCCCTCCACCAGCATATAATCAATGAAATAATTAATGTTGAAACTAGCAAAATGCTATAAGCAACTAAATTTACAGATAGGCTTGTTTCTGGTTTATATTGTCTTCTGGATTCTTCATGAAAATTATTCACTAGTAATTTAAGTTTTTTTTTCTTCTGCAGGCACCAATTTGAAAACATAAACATTCATGAGTAATATGGCAAAATTTTGTCTTTAGAAACCTGGAAATTGGCCATACTAGAAAATAAGCTATTATATAATTGGTAAGGCTGAAAAGCTGTTTGTTTATTTCAGAACTGCAGGTGCCAGGTGCTAAGAAAATGCTTACTGTTAGTTTTTCTTTCATTTTTATCCACCACAGCAATTATCAAATTAAATAAACTCTTAAGCAAACTCTCTCTTATTTTCATACTCTACCAATTATTTAATTTCGTTTCAAGGAAAATGTTACCTCTTTTCATTCTCTAAAAAGAGAAATATGGATATGAATATTCTGCATTATCTATGTACTCACAGGCTCAAATGGCAAGACCATGTCATCTCTAATTCCGTACTTCGCTCGCAAAGCCTAGAAGAAATTTCCAGGTTAATACTAATGATTGACACTTTACTGGTAACTATTGACGGAAGCATCTCCCAAACTTTTAAAACTATTTTTGTTCTCCTCTCCAAAGAGAGCAATTTTTCAGTTTTACCAAATATCTCAAGAAAGGATATATGACTTTAAAGAACTAAACAGGTTGAGTGAATGGCTGAATGACGAAATTGTACAGCCAAAAGCAAAAATTCACACACACACAGACACTTAAAATGAGAATTATGTTCCAGGTTGCAATGAAAATGTAAATATCAGAAAACTTTTTTCAAGTTTTATGAAATCTATCACATCAACAGATTAAAAATGAATAATCACAAAATTATATCAACAGATGAAAAAAAGCACTTGACGAAACCCAATACCTAGTCACAATAAAAACTCTCAGTAAACTAAAAGAGAAGCAGACTTCCTCAACTTTGTAAAGACTATGTTATAAAAAGCCTACAGCTAACATCATACTTAATGATGAGAAATCAAAGCTTTCTCACTAAGATCAGATACAGCGCAAGGATATCCCCTCTCACCACGCCTTTCTTTTTTTTTAAACAAACACATAAGACTTGGATGCCTCAAAAATGTAATGAACAAAGATACTAATTACTATATATAAAATAAACAACAAGGTCCTACTGTATAACACAGGGAACTATATTCAATAATAACCTATAATGAAAAAGAATGTATGTATAACTGAATCACTGTGCTGTACACCAGAAACTAACACATTGTAAATCAACTATACTTCAATTTTAAAAAGTGTAATAAACATAAAATAAATGTTGATAGCTTCCAAAATTAACTGCAATCTGGCCATAATGAAAAGGAACCACCCAGCAAACCTCTCCTCTTCAGGTACACGTGGCACAGACCTGCCGGACACAGTCGCTTCCCTGGCCCATCACGCCGTGGTCCAGCCACCTAGCCTGCACAATGTCACCACGGCGCATGGGGAAACTCCCCTCACCACTCCTTTTCAACATTGTACTGAATGTTCTCGGTAATGAAATAAAGCAAGAAAAGAAAAAAGGAGAGGGGAAGGGCAGAGAGGGGAGGAGAGGAGAGGAAAGAAAAGGTATTACAGATTGGGAAGGAAGACATAAAACTGCTTTGTTTGCAGATAGCATGATCAACTACATAGAAAATTCAAAGAATCAACAACCAAAAAAAAAAAAAAAAAAACTCCTGGAACTGATAGGAAAGTATAGGACGGTTGCAGAATACAGTTAATATACAAAATTCAATTGTGTTCCTGTATACCAAAAATGAACAAGCAGAATTTGAAATTAAAAACACAATACCATTTACATTAGTTCCCCCCAAAATTAAATATAGTTGATGCTTAAACAACATGGGGGTTAAGGCTGCTGACTCTACCAAGCAGTCAAAAATCTGCATGTATCTTTACAGTCAGTCCACTGTATCCACAGTTCCATACCCACAAATTCAACCAACCATGATCGTTGTAGTACTGTACTACATATTTATCAAAAAATAACTACATGTAAGTGGGTCTTGCACAGTTCAAAGCTGTGCTGTTCAATTATATTTAGGTACAAAACTAACAATACACATGTAAGAGACAAGGAAAACTACAAACCTCTGATGAACAGGATCAAAGAAGGACTAAATAATGGAGAGATAGTCCATGTTCACGGATTGTGAGACTAAATATTGTCAAGATGTCAGTTCTTCTCAACTCATCCCATAGAGTCAATACAATCTCAATCAAGATTTCAGCCAATTACTTTATGGATCTCAACAAGCTGATTCCAAAGTTTATATGGAGAGGCAAAAGACCCAGAAGAGCCAACTCGATATTTAAAAAAAAAGTTGTAAGACTGATGCTGAATAACTTCAAGACTTACTATAAAGTTACAATAACCAAGACATTGTGGTGCTGACGAAAGAATAGACAGATCAATGGAACAGAACACAGAGCTCAGAAACAGATCCCCATAAATACAATCAACTGATCTTTGACAAAGGAGCAAAGGCAATACAATGGTGCAAGGACAGTCTCTTCAACAAATGTTACTGGAACAACCGGACATCCATCTGCATAAAAATAAATTTAGAAAAAGACCTTACACTCAATACAAAAATTAACTCAAAATGGATCATGGACCAAAATGTAAAACATAAAACTATAAAACTCCTAAAAGATAATGCAGGAGAAAACCTAAATGACCATGGGTATGGAGATGCCTTTTTAGAGAACATCAAAGACATAATCTATGAAAGAAATAATTGATAAGCTGGACTTTGGTAAAATTACAAACTTCTGCTTTGCAAAAGACAATACCAAGAGAAGAGAAAGACAAACCATACTGAGAAAAAATATTTACAAAAGATACATCCGATAAAGGACTGTTAGACAAAATGTACAAAGAACTTTTAAAACTTAACAATAGGAAAACAAACAAATCTGATTTAAAAAATAAGCCAAAGACCTTAACAGATACACCTCACCAAAGGCACACAGATGGAAAATAAGCACACGAAAAGATACTCCACATCGTCTGTCACCAGGAAAATGCAAAATAAAACAAGATATCATCACACACCAATTACAATGGCCAAAATCCAGAATACTGACAACACCAAATGCTGACAAGGATGTGGAGCAACAGGAACTGTCATACATTGCTAGTGAGAATGCAAAATGGTACGGCCACTTTGGAAGACAGTTTGGCAGTTTCTTACACAACTATACATACTCTTACCATATGATCCAGCAATAATATTTATATTTATAAATATTTATATTTTATAAATTTATAAAACTACAATACTCCTACCATATGATTCAGCAATAATATTTGTATTTATATTTATATTTTATAAATTTATAAATTTATAAAAACCTGCACATGGATGTTTATAGCAGCTTTACTTATAAGTGCAAACACTTGTTAGCAACCAAGATGTCCTTCAGTAGTTGAATGAATAAACAAACTGTTGTACATCCAGACAACAGAATATTTTACAGTGTTAAAAAGAAATAACCTATCAAGCTATAAAGACATGAGAAAACTTACATGCATATTGCTAAGTGAAAGAAGTCAAATCTAAGAAGGCTACATACTGTATGATTCCAACTATATGACTTTCTGAAAAGGTCAAACTATGGTAACAATTAAAAAGATTAGTGGTTGCCAGGGGTGGGAGGGAGGAGAGATGAACGGGAAGAACAAAGAGGATTTTTAAGGCAATGAAAATATTCTGTATATTATAGTGATAGATATATTACACATTTGTCCAAATCCACAGAAAATACAGCACCAAGAGTGAACCCTAAGGTTAACTACGGCCTTTGGGTGATTATGATGTGTCAATGTAGGTTCATTTTTTGGTAAAAAATGTATCATTCTGGTGAGTGATGTTAATAATGGGTGAACCTACACATGTGTTAAAACAGGGAGTACATGGGAAATCTTTGTACCTTTTTTCTCAATTTTATTATGAACCTAAAAAAATTATGAGCTCTAAATAAATTAACTTTAAGAAAGGATTCTATGAAATATATTTAAAATTCAAATGATAGGAAAACATAAAAACATCAAGAAACAGGTTAAAGATAGCATTTCAAAGATACATGCATAGCTTTTTAGCCTAATACAATAGTTAGTTCACTGGTACCTAACCAACAAGATGATGAAAAGGAAATAAAAACATGGAACTCAGACACTCACTTGCTTTTTCTTCAAGTCTCTGAGGGCAGCAAAATCATCCGGAGAGTCAGAAGGAACACTTGTGACCACACCAGTGCCTTACATAAGAAAATATGGAATTAACTAATACAACCAGAATGTGTTTCCCAAAGAATTTCTAGAAAGAAAGAAACCCTTTACCTTTGTCCTCCTTGATGGTGAGCATCGGAAGAACATAGATCACCTTGTAAGATGTTAAAGGTGCAGAAAGTGATGCACCAAGAATTTCCTATGTAAGAAAAAGATCAGCATAAAAGATAAAGTAACTTATTCCCACCATTAAAATTTAAAACAATGTTAATTATTTTAAGCCCTGAGAAGCTAACATATATAATCAAAAATATATAAAATATAATATATATTTAATCAAAATATATAGAATATACATAATCAAAATATATAATCAAAAATATATAAAATAAAACACTCACTCTTTTATACCTACTAGACTAAAAATAACTGAAAATAATTATAATACCCAAATCTTATAAGGTTGTGAGAAAATTAGTACGCAAATACATTGCTTTTAACATTGTACTCCTTGAGGAAAACAATGCAGGAATCCACAGCAAGTGCCACAAAAATGTTCACACAACTTGTACTCAGCAATGCAATCCTAGGAATTCACCTCAAAAGAAAAAAGAATTTTTTCTTTGAGACTCTGCCCAATACTGGGTTAAGTACATTAGCAAACCCTGGAAACAACTAAAACTTTCAATTTTAGAAAAATCACTTAATAAAATATCAGACATTAACAAAAAAGAATATTGTACCTCTATTTTAACACTTCGTTTTTTTTTAAATGGCGATAGTGGGGACTGAATCCAGGATCTTGTACATGCTGAGCATGCACTGTGCCACTGAGCTATACTCTCCCCCGTACATCTATTTTAAATGATAATTAAGAAGATAAATTAAATTTAAAAGATATATCTAGTTTCTCCTTTAAAAAAAAAAAAGGGCAGAAGATCTGACAATACTGGACCCATAGTCTAATACATCAACAAAAAGCTTGCAGCTGCTTGTTTAGGAAAGGAATGCACTTTTCAGTTCCATACAGTTCCCACCCATCCCACTTTATTCATATAAACAAACTGCTTTTATGGAACTAATAGTCATATGGGTAAAAGCTAAATATCGTAACAATCTTAAAGGTTGAAAGCTTCTTTTTTTCACTTTTTTTTGAAAGCTATTTTTTAATTTATACCACCCATTTTCCTCATTCCAGAATCTGCTCAAATTAACATAAAAGAAGTTGCATTTAAGATTAGGAAAAAACTTGTGTCATTAATACTGTTCCAAAAACTTCTCAGACAGAACTCTAACATAGGAACTAACGAGAATGTGGCAGCAATGTTCGTAACATAAGAAACAATTTAAATATCCATTACACATGGTGAAAAAGAATATGAAAATGAATATATGTGTATTCGTGTATGACTGAAGAATTGTGTTATACACCAGAAATTGAGACAACATTGCAATATAATGTTGACTATAATTCAGTAAAAATAAACAAATGAATATCCATTACACAGAATGGTTAAATAACTTGTGGCCAAACAATGGAATACTATGTAACAGTAAAAATAAGAACAAGGAAGATGTTTACCTACTAATAAAATGATTATCAGGAAACAGTTAAGTAAAAAAGAAAGGAAAACACAGAATAATGTGATAAAGTATATTGCCGTCTGTGTATTAAAAAGAGGGTAAAGGAATATATACATATGTATTTGCTTATATATTCATGAAATACTTCTGGATGGATACACAAGACTTTTTTTTACTTATTTTACTGACTGTCTATGGAAGGGAAAATTGAGTCACTGGGAATATTTTATGTATAATTTTCTCTTTTAAATTTTGTTATAAATATATAACAATCCAGTCAAAAAATAAGTTTATAAAATAAGTAAGAAATCAAAGTCCAATTTCAAAAGGAGAACTGAGATGATATTTGACTCACCTTCTTCTTCTAAAAGGTTATTTATTAAGGTGACAAACATCAGCATTTACCAAAGGGAATAAGACATTCAAAAATACTGATAATTAAATAAGTTCTAAGGATAAGAGCTGTGTAACCTCCCAGATTTAGTTAACATCAACCAAAACTTTCTTCTCAGGACAAAAGCAGCTGCAGTTCCACACCAGGAATGCAGGTAATCATATTCAAAAAGCAACATAATGTTTACTGCAGCTATTAAATCTGCTGGGGAGAACTGTGTATTTTTCAACCAGATACTTACTGAGCTGAAACGTAAGATTAAAAAATGCTATTTTAGTGATATAGTCATACAATGACTATTCCACAGCAATTAAAAAAAAGAAGAACAAATTACTCCTATACATAACATGGATAACTCTCCACGTACACCGAAGTGTACAGACTGTATAAATTCCCTTATGTAGAGTTCAAGAACAGCAACTAATCTTTGGAGACTGAAGTCACGGCAGTGGTTACCTTTGCAGGAGCAGGCTGAGCACTGATGTGAAATGGACATGAGAGCACCTTGTGGAGTGCGGGAACTGTTCTAGATCTCGATTTGGGTGGCGCCTACATGAGTGTATGTATATGTGACAAGGCACCAAAATGTACACTTATGACTTAGACATTTGACTGTGTGTACACCTCACTTAAAAAAATTTCTTAATGTCCCTTTTTCAAGCTTCATTGTTGAGATTTTCCTCTAAATTTATGTACTAAATTAAAAAGTCTGTTACCCAACTTACCTCTCCCATTAACTCCTTAACAACAGGCACCACTCCATTGTCCTTGGTAAAGCCCTGGTATGACATATTCCTTGCAGCTTTTTGGGTGCAGATGAATATATCACCATTCACTGTCTCAAAGCCAATGTACTTCATATCAGGGCGAACCCAACAGTTTGTCTGTCCAAACATGGTCTCAGGTCTGAGAGTAGCAGCTACCAAGAAGATATTTTTCCCTTTCAAGCCACTAAGAAAAAAATACATGTTGATGCAAAAAAAGTTGTGGATTCTATCACAACTATCTGATATTTCAAAAAAGATGAAATAACAATGCTTCAGTAAACCTACCTTAGTTTGGATGGGTATGGCTCAAGCACTTTCAACTTGATTAGAGTATATTCCTGAGGTCCAACACCCTAAACAAATAAACAAAACAAAAATCTGAGGAAGAAAAAAAGACTTAGATTAAACCTATTAATCTATGTGAGCAATCTGATGCAAATTTCTAAGATGGTTCTTGCATTGTTGGAACAATTCTTTTTTCCAATGAAGAGACTGCCAGTGGTATGCTGACCATATCCACGTGGAAACCTAATGTGTAAGAAGTGGCTTGGGAGACCATGCCATGCCACACCAGACCAGAACTGGTCAAGGAGGCTGAACTGAGTGAGGCTTGCTAAGAGCTCCCATGAGAAGGAAGAACAGGAGAAAAAAAAAACTGGTCTTGGATTAATCAGCCAAAATAGCGTTTGCCAAAATGGGAGTTAGAAGATACGATCAACATCAACCCCACAGAGCAGTCATCACAGACACACACTCGGCCAGGGGTCAGATGATGGACATTCGAAACCCAGCTTGGGCCCTTACTTATGGTTGGACCCAAGGAGTCACAATTGCTCTGAGTCTTCGTTTCCTCATCTGTAAAATAACTGTGCTGTGCCTCACACAGGACTGCCCTGAGGAACACATAAGATAATGACAGGAAAAAGCTTTGAAAAGCTATGATGCACTATTGAAATTAGTATACTGCTACCATAGGCTATATTAAAGCTTAATACACTCAATAAACTGGGCCTTCTGAAGTTTCTCAAAACTTTCAAAATTTTCATCAACTCTCACTTCTATCAGATAAGTTACATCATAATTGAAGGCTGATTTTGAAAAGTAGTCGCTAGACTACAAAGGTGTTCAAAGGTGGTAACAAAGAACAATGCACTCACAGAACTCCTAAGTTCAGATCCTGGCACTGTTGATTTACTGTGCCAAGGCTTTAGGCAAATGAATTACCCTTCGTTCACTCTAGTGTTACAAGGAATAATGTTACTGATGTGTCCTACAATACAGGGTAAACTGATGCCATGAATAGCTAGAAGTACTTTGGAAATAGGTAAGTAGGCACATGACCAAAGCAAGTATAAATGGAATCTGCTTACATCAGTTAACCACATATCTCATTACCTTTCACCACGCTCTCCTTTTAGAGCAGTGGTGCTTCTCAAACATGAGCAGGCATATGAATCACATTGAGAACACATTAAAAGACAGATTCCTGGGCCCCACCCCCAGAGCTTCTGATTCAGCAATTTTGGGGTGAGGCTCAAGAATGTGCTTTTCTAG